TAAATATATTTACTAAATAATATATATTTACCTGCTAGCAACATCTGTAGAAATAAGTATAGATCGATTTTTTGCTTTAAATTTAGTAAGTGCTGCTATTCTTTTATTTTGTGACATTTGACCATGTAAAGGGACAGCAGTGAAACCCAAATTTCGCAAAAGAAGGGCAGTTCTAACTGTGTTATTACAAGTTGCACAAAATATCATAAAACTATTACCTGCTAATTCATTTAAGATATGTACAAGATATACATCCTATAACAAAATTTTATTATGAAGAAAAAAATTTTAAATATTAAAAAATATTAAAATTAATCAATTATTTTGCACCTTGAATTTGACAGGAATAAAAATGTAATATTGTTGTAACTTTTCAACGGTTTGATATTTTGTTGAAACTTCTACTTTAACAGGATTTCGTAAAGATGCACGCTGTAATTTTTGCACCTTTTTGGTCATTGTAGCAGAAAACAATAATGTTTTTCTTTCTCGAGGAATTACTCTTAAAATTTTATCTACTTCAACTTCAAAATCCATATTCAAAATTCGATCTGCTTCATCCATGACCTTTTAATATTGAAGTGATAAATATATTGAATTTTTTAACATATATAATACAAATATTAATGCTTACTAAGAATTTCAAAGAACGTAGACTAAAACCTTTGGTGTTTTCCAAATGATCAACTAATCTTCCTGGAGTAGCAATTAAAATATGTGGTTTTTTTGCTAATATTAATGCTTGGGACATCATATCCATTCCACCTACTATTACTGCACATTTTACTCCAATACTTGATCCTAATACAATAATATAATTATATTATATTATTATATTTATATTATTTTATTTTATTATAAATTATATTATAAAATATATAATTTATTTTTTACCTAAAGCTTCAAACTGTTCTGATATTTGAAAAGCTAATTCTCTAGTGGGTGTCAAAATTAAAGCAAAATATCTTTGAGGATTTTCTAAAAGTGCTTGTAAAATAGGAAGAGCAAAAGCAGCAGTTTTACCAGAACCAGTTTCTGCTAATCCTATTATATCTTTACCTGAAATTATTTATAATTTCATGTTTTTATTTAATAATTATAATTTTTTATTTTAATAAATATATATAATTTTCTCAATTTACCTTCAAGTGCTAAAGGAATAGCTTCACATTGAATTTTTGTAGGTGATTTCCATTTCAGATCTTCACATGCTTTACATAATACATCTACAATACCCTGTAATAAATAATAATATTATATTTCATCTATATTGTATTTTCAAAAAAATTTTTTAAAAATATTTATTCATAAATAATATATATATTTATATATAAATGACAAATATAATATATATATATATTAAGTAAAGTATATACATTTAAAGAAAACATAAAATATTTCTTATTAGGTTAAGTATTTGTTTTTTGTAGATATTTTTAAACTTACCAAATCTTTCCACGTTATTTTTTTTAAATTTTCTTGATCTTGTTGTTCTATTAAATCATTTTCTTCCATTTTTGAATTATCAATGTATAAAATTAGTATATTTATATTTATAATTTTACATAAATTCAATATTAATAATAAGAATTATTTCTTTTTCATCTTAATGAAAACATAACCTAGTTAATATAACCTCGTGTATCTAACATTTTTTTTCTATTATATTTAATGAAACTTTGTGTCACAACAAAACAATCATAAACAAACTACAGAATAAATATAATATTCAATATATTTTTTTTTTCATGTCTCAAAAATATTAAGAGTAACTATACAGATTAAATATCTCTATCTAATGATAAATATAGATAAATGCAAATAGTAGCAAAAAGACACAGATAGATTAAAAATTGTGAAATCAACGCCATCTCTAAAGTAAATAAAACATAAATAATAGATAATAAATAAAGAGAACAAATTATAAAAAGAAAATAAAATAGAAATAGAATAAAAATTGACTATCAATTACTATTTCTTGAAAACCAAAGATATTTGAAAATAGAATAAGTTAGAGTTAAAAGTTAGTTAGAGTAAAATTAAAAACTAGCGCCATTTCTTCAATATTTTTTGAAATAAATTTTCAACATTTGAAATGATGCTGATAATCATTCTTATTCTATCTCTATTCTTTTTCTATCTTTTATTCTTCTTGTCTATTATTATTCTCTTTGTTTCATTCATTACTCTGGATATAATGCTGCTTTTCGAGTTTTTATCTTATCTGTGTTTTTCTTCTTTCCTATTTACTTTTGTTGCCTATATTTATTCTCTATATATTCGAGAATTTATGCTATTTATCTTAATCTGTCACATCTATTTTGTATTTTGTCTATGGTATCATAGAAATGTAACGAATAATAGATCTATTGTATACTTAATCTATGCTTCTATCTTAGATGCAAGTGCAAAATTTTTTGAAAAGAATTTCATTAATATTAATTTTTCTAATGGTAAATATAGGGAACGTGCCTCATTTCTTTTATTGATTTACTATTTTTTTAATTAGAATCCAATAAAAATTTTTCTATTTTCATTGTTCAGTAAATAATTAATTATATTTTAAGTTTTTCTTTAATTCTATTAAGAATAGAATAAATTCCTGTATAATTTTTGTTTTTTTTTATTGAAAAAGTTTATCGAAAATACAATTATTTATTATTATTTATTTTATATCTAATTTAAATTGGATATCTTTTTTATATTATATAACACAGAGCGTGCGTAAAATGAAGTTAGGAATATCATCGTAAGTGGCGCTGGTATATTTATTATCCCATAATGGCGGTTACGATTTATCGTGTATTTTGTAATAAGTTTACTTAAAAGAAGTTTATCGAAAATTTTATCTCTTGCTCTTCATCGAGTTTTCTGTATGAACGTAATCAGCGATAGTGATGTCATCGTATACATTTTCACAAAAAGTGTTTACACCTATACCTCCAGAAAAGGGTAGTTTTCCACTCGACCATGAGGGTATTTGCAAAAGGCTTATGATCAAGTATATGCGCTGTTTAGTTGAAAATAATAACGAAAACACGATGTGTCGTGATATTACAAAAGAATACCTTTCTTGTCGAATGGATAATGAGCTTATGGCACGAGAAGAATGGTCTAATCTTGGTTTTTCTGACGAGGTCAAGGAGACATAACAGCAGGGATTTATTACTAATCGATTGTCGCAAAGTTGTAGATCACTGTTTTTGTCACTTGAATGGTATTTATGAACTTTTTCGCTGGTGATTCTTATTTCATCTTAGATAAAATTTATATGGATTTTAGAGTGAATTTGTAAATTTGTAGTGACATATAACTTATGTATGTATTTTATGAATTATAAATAATACATGCATTTATTCAATATGATTTTTGAATAATGATACAATATTAGTAGAGAATTCTTTTTAATATCCAATCCAATTAAAGTGATCTCAGTGCAGAAAAAGGCTTCAGAGTAAATATTAAATATTTAAAATAAATTAATAATATAAATATATTCAATATAGAAATCTAAGGGGAAAAGAAATCATTAATAAAAGTACTTTTATTGAATGTAATTTATTGTTAATTGATGTGATTTAGGTATCTTATATCAGATGGCCTAAAATATTTAATATAGCTATAGCTGTAAAAGTTAAGCTCATTTTATCTTGATATCATCTATAGAAAAAAAATAAATTTTATAAATAAAAAATATAATATAAACAACAAATCATTAAGAAGGAAAACAAATATAAATTTGTGAAAATGGCATGCACCTTTAAAAAAAAGATTTTAATTGGTTGTACCGGTAGTGTTGCAACAATTAAATTACCACAATTAGTAGATAAATTATGGCGTAATAATTTTGAAGTGAGAATAGTGGTCACTGAAAAAGCTAAGCATTTCTTGAAAGAGGCAGAACTGCCTCCAGGAATTCAAGTTTTATCTGATACAGTGGAATGGGCTGCTTGGCAAGACAGAGGTGATCCTGTATTGCATATTGATTTAGTGAAATGGGCTGATTTATTTTTAATTGCTCCATTAGATGCTAATACTCTTGGTAAAATAGCTAGTGGTATATGTGATAATATATTAACTTGTGTTGCACGTGCCTGGGATCCATTAAAGCCTTTGGTCTTTTGTCCTGCCATGAATACAAAAATGTGGGAACATCCTGTTACTGCAACACAGGTATATGTTATAATATTTAAATAATATATTATTTTTATTATATTTTCTTTGCAACAATCGGTATGAATCAATATAGTTTTAATAAAAATTATTATATATTGTAATTAAATTTGATTATCAATTTTGTTTTAGATAGCTCTATTGAAGTCTTGGGGATACAAAGAAGTTGCATGCATTTCTAAAACTCTTATGTGTGGTGATGTAGGAATAGGTGGAATGGCAGAGGTAGATACCATTGTTCAAACTACACTAAGGTTGCTTAATCCTTGGGACCCATATTCTCCACCGGATATGCGCCTTTAATATCAAGAATAAAAATAAAATATTCAACGAAGCTTTGTTGTCATACAAATAAAATGGAAATATCTTACAGAAAATGAAAATTAAAAATAAAAAAACAATCGCGTACTATGGTGGAATTCAAATAATTTATGCTCATAGTAAAATTCGAGTTCAACAAGTTTTAACTTGTAAGATTACGCTTTCCCGAATACACTGTAGTCGCGATATTTTGTTGCTCAAATGAAATGTCTAAAACAGTTGTGTTAAGGAAAGTGAGCAAAACAACCGTTTGTCCACTCGCCAAAATAAAATATAAAAACTGTAAAGATATTCTGTTAACATATCGTTTAAAGTTGATCCAGTAAATAAACATGTATGTTTTTGTTAAATACATGAGTTAAATGATAATATATTTAAAGATTCCCTTGATTTTTTTTATTTAATATATTAAATTACAACTTGATTATAATCATAATAAAGAAGAAGAGTTTTAAATATAAAAAAATTGAATCAGGACAAGTCATTTATTTTTAAAATTTTTCGTCAATTATTTAAAAATTACTTTATTAAAATTATTATATATATAATCAGTATAAGAGAAGTGTATGTTAAAATTTAGTCATGTGTAAATTGGAGCGCATATATATAATACACGCTCGCATTTATACGCGACTTTACATAAATATCACAGTTTACAAATGTTTATTAAAATATACTATAAAAAATATTCCGACAAAAAGAGTTGATCGTGTCGATGCGTTGTTCGAAGCCATGATTTTTGATTTTCTTGGATAATTTTCGACATCATTGGTTTCCAATTCTCGTGGACAACCCATCCAAACTGGTGCTGATAATTTTTGTCTTTCGTGTGCAACTTTCATTCTTTGATCATCGAATTCCCAGAATCCTTTACCTTTAAAAAAGTATGTTTTACCTAAAAATATATTAAAATATGATAAGTAATATTTTATCATTTTTACCATCTTTATAATTAGATTATACTTTGAAAATGATAATATATATAAATACTCACCATTTTTCCATTGAAAAACAGCGTCGATATCTGTACCGATACCAGCAAACATACTTATATTTCTCGGATAATCAAGTTCTACGTGATTTACAGATTCATCAAACCTATGTTAAAAATATTTATATATATCTTTATATTATAATTTTAATTTAAATTATAACATTATTACAATTTTTATAATATTTAATAATTATATTTTTTAATACCTCCAGTACATAGATCCACTAAAGAAATATGTTTTTCCATTGTGTCCCCAAATCATTGCTCCATCAATCTTTTCTAATGATTCTGGTAATCCCAATCTAGTCAATGGTTTCGGATAACCTGGTTCGAGATTGTTAGCATTGAAAACGTAATACCTTTTACCAATAAAAAATACTATTTTCTTGTCTGGCCTCTCGTAAACTGCATCTACATGATCGATTTCTTCAGGTAGATTAAACAAGCGTGTGATTTCCGCTGGATATCCTTCATACAATCCTTGGTCACCAATTCTCCATAAATACTGAAAGAAATATATTATATAATTATATATTACATAAATATTAAAATTTGCCCTATAAATATTATTTAATTAATCAAAAGAATAATATAATATAAATAAATATGATATATAACTGAATTTATGTGGATGTTTCTTCATTTTGTTTATTATTATTTATTTCTTTCATGAATGATTATGTCTTATTATTTTGTGTATCATTAATTTTATTAAATGATATAAATCATGGTAAAACACATAGATAATTGAAAAAATACTGTTTTAGGAATAACTATATATTTGTTATCAAGTAAGGAGGAAAGTAAGGAGTTATTGTTATAAAGAAAAGTTTAGGAATTATTTCTAAGTGATAAATATGAATGATAAATATGAATTAAATAAAGAAGAAAAGATTTTATTTTATTTTAGTTAAATGTATATTATCGATATAATTTATATATATTTATTTAAGTATGATTATATTTCAGTATTATTTCATTTAGAAAGAATTAATAATTTGATTAAAATATTTCCATTATTTTAACAATCAAAAATGTAAAAATTTTTTATATTATTTTTTATATTTTGTTGATTTATCAGTAATGATATCAAATGTTTCATGAAAGCATTAATGATAATGATAAATTTGCGGCTAACTAAATAGAATGAGAATATATTTAGATATTCATAGCAATTTATTTAATACTTACTCGTCCTTTGAAGACAAAAATTTCCCTACGAATAATGCTGATGGCATCATAACTCGTATCACATTTATCCGGTTTGTCGTTCCTTGGTGCCGGTGGTGTGTAACGATGCCTTGGCCTTTGCGTGTACGGCGTTCTCATAGTTGTGGTAGTGGTGGTAGTAGTTGTAGTAGTAGTAGTAGTAGTTGTAGTGGAAGTCGTGTGATGTTTGTGAGGTTTGTGAGGCCTCTGAGGTCGATTCTCCGGCCTCTCTGGACTCTCTGTTCTATAATCCGGCTTTTGAGGGTAGTGATCAGGGCGTCGAGGCCGATCGTCGTTTGGATAGTGATTCGGCCTGGTTGGTCTTGTTCTCCATGGTCTATAGGTCGTCCCAACGCTTGTTGTAGTTGTTCGAGGTGTTGTAGGTCGTTCCGGAGGTGGCGGCCCACCTGGTAGATTGGCCCAGAGCCTCTCTTCCGGTGCACCTGTAACATGATGATGACTCGTCAAATAAATATACTGATTATATTGATTTTATAGAGATCATTAGAATAAGTAAATATGTGATTGAAAATTTGTAGTTAATTAATATGTGAAAAAATTTTGATTGTGATAATTATAAAAATAAATTATAAAATCAAGGATTTAAAATTTTTTTCAGCAAAATATTTGATTAATAGTTGCCCAATTTGTAAATGTATATGAATAGTTTAAATTGATTTGCACGAATCGATATACTTAATTGAAATGAAAGGAACGATAAGCTGCAATCTTATTGGAAATTTATGTAGAAATGTAAAGATCTATTATCCCGAGAAGACGATTCAATCTTGAATTCCAATAAGTCGGAACGAAAGAAGACAAATTTATTTTATATTTCACGATATTTCATCAAATCAATTGATGAAATATTATAATTTTCATGTAATATTACTTTTTTAAATAAAGAATTTTTGAACAAATTTTAAATAACAATAATAATTATGAATTTGTTTTCAGGGAAAAATTAAAAAATAAAATTAAAAAATAAATTTCTTAAAACGAAAATTTATAAAATATTTAATCTTTTTCCTAGATATATACAAAAAAATAAAGAATTTTTAACATGATAGAAAATTAAAACATGATGAAAAATAATTTTTAGAATACAAAGAAATGGATTAGGAAAGGAAAGGAATTAATTATCAATAATTTTCATAATTATTAAATCAATAATTAAAGAGGTGATGTTAGATTCGCTAGTGAATAAGTGTTTTCGTTCTCTGTCTGTTTGTTTCTGCATCTCTCTCTCTCTCTCTCTCTCTCTCTCTCTCTCTCTCTCTCTCTCTCTCTTCGCCGCAGCCGCGTGCAGATTCCACTCGCTAATTGGTAGCTCCCTCGCGAATATTAATTATCATTCGATTCTGGGACATATACCGTTCCTGAATAATGCAATAATGCAGATAGCACAGGGTTGCGCATGATATATACTTTGCATGCCGCGATGTATTATGCATAACGTTTATTGCCATTGACTTCTCGCTCATAGTTTAGCTTTCAAGGAAACTTGATTGTTTCACTTATCTTTTGCTTTTCTCCATAATTTAACTTAAAATTATTGCGATTATCTTCTTTCACTTAAAATATATAAAATTAATGACATTGGAGCAAATGAATTGTAATATATTGTTACATCAAACAAAATGTTAGGTTATGTTAGGTTATTTGAAAATATATTTGTAATTTTTTAATAATCTAACATATTTTCGTGTATTACGAATTTTATTTTCATATTAGGTATATATATTTTAGAACATAGATATTTATTTTAATTAATAATAATTCTTAAATATATTCCAATTGCTTTTCGTTTGTAACTAATATATTAGATGTATACATGTATAATGATTTGATGATCATGGTGGTTCAAAAATTTAATTCGGGAAAATTCAGGCAGAATCGGTCTATTTGAAATAAAAATCAAATAATTAACATTAAAAACTATTTAAGGAAAAAAAAAAATATTTAAAAAAATGATGCTCTATACTTCATTTTTAATTTCCAGATTGTCAGATTATAACTCTAATATAATAATAATAAAAAGAAATGATAAAATGATTAAGCGATTCTCTTCTTTATACTAATGAATTTTTATCATCTATGCTTACGTCAGCAGATTGAATGCTAAAGATTGCTGAAAGCTCGAATATTGAAGTTGAAAAAGTGAATTTCATTATTTAATATTATCAAATTATTACTGAATAATTGATTTATTAAAAAAAAATTCAAATTTATTGTGTAAGAAGATTTAAAAATAATTAAAATATTCCTAATACTACTGGTTAGAATTATTAATAGAAGTTAAAATATTCAACTTTCATTTAATTCAATAAATAATTGAATTCATGATTTTAGATTTTATTCATATCTTTAAGTTTTTTAGATTTCAAAAAATTAAAAAAAATGTTTTTCTATTTTCTTATATTTCTATTTCATTATTGAATTAAGTTTAAAAAATTTTTGAAACAATTTTAACAATAATTAAACTAGGAATTAAGATATTTGAAAATAAAATTTTAATAATATTTAAAAATTGTGGATTCAAGAATAATGGAAAGCTAATTGTTTAATTTAAATTTAAAAATTTAAAAACAAAATTTATTATTATTTTATAATTATCTGAAAGATTTTATTTATTATAATCGTCTAAAAAGTGATACAAATATAGATTCAACGAAAAAAGGAAAAAGAAATAATATACTTTGATACATGGCTATTGGAATAACTACTTTCGGATAATGAGATTTCGAAATGAAAAGATGAAAGCTAGATATAATAGAGAATAAAAAAAATGAATAGAAAGAAGAGAATTTTTTCTTCTTTCAATTCTTTAAATTTTGCTTATTAAATACTAAATCAGAATATTTCTCAAAGATGTAATAATTAATAAAAGAATTTGAAATTGATGCATAAAATTGTTTATTTATTAAATAAATGCATAAAATTGTTTAATATATTAATAAATAAATATAAAAATTAATAAATACTATGCTAAAAATATAATAAAATCTTTAATTGATCGAATAATCTTTCGGATCTTATTGTCGTTTATATATATATTTCTATTATTATTTTATGACTTTTTTAGAATAATTTTTAAATCATATTTAAGAATTATAATAAAATATTATTCAATATCTTGTTAAATTAATTATCAAAAAGTTTCTTCGATAAAAATAAAGATAACAATGAACATATTCAAAAATAAAATTTCATTCATTCACTATCTTCTCAAGATTATTAATAATTGTTAAATCCTTGAAATAGTGAAAAAAAATAGTACATTAAAATTTAAGTTTCTTCACCAGCGAAGATAGAGACCGTGGGGAGAAACAACGATCGACAAAGAAACACGAAATGATAAAAGAAACACCAACAGCATTGCAGTGCAGTGGTAAAACTCGAATGAAACTTTCGATTAAATAGCATGCTGTGTTTGGTGAAGGAAAGAATGAAACGAACGAAAAGAAAAGAAGAAAAAGAAGAAGAAAAAAGAAGTCAGAAAAGAAAGAGTTAGATCGGGGTAATTAAGACAGGAAGCAGTGTCCTCAGAGGAACGTTTATGAAACATCGCATTGCGATGCAAGGAGAATCCTTCTCTTTGAATGAACTTGTAGGAAGAAGAGAGAAGTCTTGAGATTTGCATCCGTTTTTTCCCTCTTCTTTTTGTTTTCTTCTTTCCTTCTTTTTAACTTTATGTACCAACCTTTCTGCAAACAAGCATCGAGAGGTTGAAACGCAAGATTTGAATCCCAAAAGGAAATCTTGAGGAACTACTTCAAGCTTTCGTGATTCCACATTTTATGCAATCCTTTTTCTGATTTTTTTTTACTTTATTTTTCCGGTAGAAGACGATAATGGTTGTTGCTTTTATGTACGTTACTGTAAAATAAAATTACGTTTTTTTTTCCAGAGAAATTTTAACTTTTTTAGTTTTTTATAAAATTTTTATTGTTTTTTATTGTTATCAATTGCTAAATATTTTTTATTTATATTAATTGTTATAAAATATTTTTGTTGACCTATTTAATATAAAGAATGCCATATTATTGTAGAAAAAACTATTTAAAGTCTGTTTCTTTCAAAGTAAGTAAAATTATTTTTTTCTTTAACAATGAAGACTATAATTAGATTGTAAAAGACTTGAGGATTATTGTAAAAGTTGAATAATTTTAAAGTTATAATAAACATACAACTTGTAATCCTTTGTAGAATGTTGGAAAACTTTACTTTGCTCCAGGATATTTTCAGCGTATTTCATATACTTGTATTTTTATATACAATAGGTATTATGCAAAAATCTTAGGTTATCTTTGTTTCTATTTTCATAATAACAAGCAAACAAATTTGAAGAAAATGTTTCCATATATATATACATGTATAAAAATAAATTTAAATTTTTTTTTGGAAAAAATATATTATATTACAATATATATATAAAGTTTCAATTCAAATGCTTTTGGATATAATATATAAATATAATATCATTTTAATGAATATCATAACCTCAAAAATGGAAATCTTTGAAGTATTGAAACGAGATAGCAAAAAACATAATTTAAAATTAGAATTTAAAATTAATGAATTTAGTTTTAAAAATTATGAATTAAGTATTACATTTAATTTAAATTATATGTATATAAACCTTACTAGAAATTCCACTATAAAAAATAATCTTTTATTAATTGTACTATAATTTATGTAATAATATTTTTATAAAAATATTTTGTAAAATATTTTTATAATAAAAAATAATAAAAAAAAATAGTTTAATGAATTAAAAATCCAATATTTTTGAACGTTATTTTTGTATCTACTGTATCTTTTATCATTATTTGTCTCTAGCCATTGTTGTAGGTGGCGGAAGTAGAAAACTATAGCCTTTAAAAAATTTGAATAAAAAGAGAAACACAATACTGCTGATCGTTTTAGAAAAGTTAGAATTCAACGTTAACGTTCTGTAGTTTGTTTACGTTTGGATTTTCGGATTTTTTCGTGACAAGTACCAGGAGCCGTAAATACCAATAGGTACTGTTGAAAAGCGCCACGTCGTGTTTTTATTGAGAACGAAACTTTGTTGGACGATTTTTATACATATATATATATATATATAATCTATTTGTTAGTATAGGTATTTCACAACGTCACAAACATTGCAATACATGCACAATCTATCTCTGAAAGTAACGATATCCATTTTATGACAGACTATCAAACTATTCATTAATATTCCTTAAATCAAGATATTATAACTATATCATAAATTTTTAGTTTTTTTTTTTTAAAAGAATGGTAGGTATTCAGAATGAAAAGAATGATAAACAGTAATTATATATTAATATATATGAAAATATTTTTGTCTTTCTTTTTTTTTATTTTTGGAGAGATAAGAGTAAAATATTTTTTTTTATTTTTATTCTATAGTTAAATTCATAGAAAAGATTATTATTATTATCGGTTTTAAATTAATAGATAGTATATAACAATTTTAAAATAAATATAATATGATTGATTTTTATATATTTCTTTTCTTTATAAAACAATTCATATCATACAAAAAAATATTGACTATAGTCAAAATGAAAATAATAATGATTAATAATAATTATGAAAATGGTTGGGCTGTTGTAATTTGTTTGTTAATGAAACACATAGAATTTTTCTACATAGAATAATCATTTGAATAAAATTGTTTGTATGATCTTCTTTTGAATCAAAAAACTCTGCATTAAGATTAAATAAATTTGTTTGTATTATTTAATAAAACACATATACGTTTTTCAATTTAGAATGTACATATATGTTCCAATTAAGAGATTTATGAAGAAACTGATTTATTGATTTCATTAAATAAATAGTAATTATATTCTCTACATATTTTTATATATAATGTCACTTTTAATAGGGAAAAAAATACATATATTAAAATTGATATCACTAAATTATATTTTATAATGAGAAAATATATTTTGTTACAAATTAATTGTAACTAATTTTTTTTATTTTATTTTATTTTATATATATATATGAGAATTTCAATAATATAAATTATTTTAATTTTCAAACTTGATTTTTATGAATGATATAAATAAAATTTATATATTATAATATTAATTTCCTTATTACCCTGGATATCACTGACTTTTATTTTTTCGTTGGTTTTATTACAATTTTTATATGTATACATATGTATATGTTATATATAATTATAAATACTTAAATTCATATGTTTAGAGCTATTTATTTAAACGCTGAAATTTGAGAGGCAATTCCAATACAGCAATAGACTAATTAGTGAATTTAACTGAAAGTGACATGGTTTGTTACATTGTTACATTAATTACAATATTGTTACAATAATCGTCTACAAATGTTAAAGACACGCAACAAAAAAATCTCTACCTCATCTATCCATCAATTTTCTCTGTCCTATATCACTTGATGAAAAATTATCAGACAGCTTATAAACAATGAAATGAAAATGAATTCAATGTTTATCAAATAACCGAGATAAAAATCAAAGACGAATATGGATAAAATGATATAATGAAAAAATGCCAAAAGGGAGCATAGTAAAAGAAAGATAACGCGAGAAAACAAACATAGGGAAAAATTAATGGAGGTTACATCTACATCTGAAGGAATGTAGAAAAAAAAAAAATTAAAAAAAAAAAAAAAAAAAAAAAAAAA